AGGAAGGAAGAAGAGTTCATGTTATAGAAAGAGACTTAACAGAACAAGATCGAATAGTTGGTGAATTGCTTCAACCAGGTGGTTACTTGAAGTTAATCGAACTCGGGCTTGAAGGTAAGACCAAATCAAATCAAGAAAGATTATATATTTTTGTTAGATTTACTTGTGTGGATTGATTATTGTTTTACTATTTTGATTGTAGATTGTGTGAAGGAGATTGATGCACAAAGAGTTCTTGGTTATGCTCTGTTTAAAGATGGGAGACATACTAAACTCTCTTACCCTTTGGATCAGTTTGATTCGGATGTCGCGGGTCGTAGTTTTCACAATGGGAGATTTGTGCAGAGGATGCGAGAAAAAGCTTCTTCACTTCCCAAGTAAAAGTTCCGATTTTGAAAGGAAAAATCTTTTAGTTTCTTGGTTTTATTGTTGTTGAATCTGATTGGAGTTTTTCGATACTTTTTTTGATGCGGGTTTAGTGTTCGAATGGAGCAAGGAACAGTGACATCGTTAGTCGAAGAAAACGGAGTAATCAAAGGTGTTCAGTACAAAACAAAAGAAGGTCAAGAGCTTAAAGCATTTGCACCTCTCACCATTGTATGTGATGGTTGTTTCTCCAACTTGCGCCGCTCTCTCTGCAAACCTAAGGTGTGTGACATTGTTCTTTTGTTTGATCTCTTATCTGTTTTGTGGTACTTAAACTCGATTGATATCTCTCTATTCAGGTGGAGGTTCCATCGAATTTCGTGGGACTCGTGTTGGAGAATTGCGAGCTCCCGTTTCCGAATCATGGCCACGTTGTTCTCGGCGATCCTTCACCTATTTTATTCTATCCAATAAGTAGCTCGGAAGTCCGTTGCTTGGTCGATATACCGGGTTCAAAACTTCCTTCAGTCGCAAGTGGCGAAATGGCTAAACATCTCAAAACAAACGTCGCACCTCAAGTACCGATTCAAATCCGCGATGCGTTCATTTCCGCTGTCGAAAAAGGTAATATAAGAACAATGCCGAACCGAAGCATGCCTGCTGATCCAATTCCTACACCTGGAGCTCTGCTTCTAGGCGATGCGTTCAACATGCGTCATCCTCTAACCGGAGGCGGTATGACAGTCGCATTGTCCGATATTGTTATCCTACGCGATCTGTTAAACTCGCTAGTCGACTTAACCGACAAAGAATCCTTATCAAAATACATCGAATCATTCTACACATTGCGGAAACCGGTTGCATCCACTATAAATACGCTTGCGGGAGCTCTTTATAAAGTGTTTCTAGCATCACCAGATGATGCGAGGAGCGAAATGCGTCGAGCTTGTTTCGATTATCTTAGCCTTGGAGGTGTTTGTTCGTCGGGACCTGTGGCTCTGCTCTCGGGTTTGAACCCGCGACCAATGAGCCTTGTTCTTCATTTCTTCGCGGTGGCGATTTTCGGTGTTGGTCGTTTGCTAGTACCTCTTCCTTCCGTTAAAGGGCTATGGCTCGGAGCCAGACTAATCTCGGTACGTCATCTCTCGAAATACTAATTTTGATTTGTGTAAAGTAAAATCTTGAACCTGAATATTGAATCTTGAATCTTTTTGGTTTGATATGAAACAGAGTGCTTCAGGGATTATATTTCCAATAATAAAAGCAGAAGGAGTGAGGCAAATGTTCTTCCCTCGGACTATACCTGCCATTTACAGAGCTCCTCCTACTCCTTCTTCTTCTTCAACTCAATGATGAATCAGAAGCTATGATATGAAGAAGATTTAACAGGTGTAAGAACAGCTACTTCGCGGTTATGATTCGAATAAACAGGGTGGTTTGATTTGGGGTTTAACGAACTTTGGTTTGAAATGTGTACCATCCATGAACGAAAAGACAAATCAAGTAGAAATGTATCTTTGTTAATTGTTAGAAAACATATGTTTTGCTTAACGTTTTGACGTGTTTGATTAAAACAAATAAACAAAAAATTAATTTTCAAAAAAAAAAAGATAAACAAAAAAAATCTTGAATTTCTTAATGTTTATATGTTTTCTTTTTGTAAACTAGCTAGTTAATCATCTAAAAGTGTATTCAAGATTACGAATTCGACCATCGACAACGAAAAGGAGACCGAAATATTGATTTAACATGTTCTGATTGAAAAAAAGATTATGGACTGGTTTGAAACAATTTAAAAAAA